AGTTAACATGCATTAAATCCACTAACCCTAATAGTAACAAAATAAAATTTTCCAAGTAAAAGAAAACAGCAAAAACTCACAGAAGGTTTTGTAAACTGAAACTTTTTATCCCTTAAGCGTCTTTGTCTTCACTGTTAATTTCCTGCACTTGAAAAGAAGAAGAATTAAGGTGAGATATCAGAAAGTCCGAAGACTGGTAAACCAAAAATAAACTAATTAAAAACTAAACAAATAAACAAATCTCCCCGGCAACCGTGCCAAAAATTGATGTGTCCTCAATTTTTTACCACTCGCAATAGCACGAATCTTTGTAGGATAGTACTATATAGAGGGTGTCGATCCCATAGGGAGAGGAGTTTTCTTTGATTTGTTTTTAACTAATATTTGGTTTACAAGTAAATGGTTGAATCGATTGATTGGTTGGTTGTCATGAGCATAAAATAAAATTAAATTAAATTAAATTAAACTAAAGTGATCAGAGAGAGAGTGGTCTTAGGGCTTTGACTTCACCACAACTTTCATACTATGGTTAACTATTTCAACTCTGGGATTTAATAAATTATATTTCAAATGAATTAAACTCAATAACATTCGTTCAATTCGAGTTTTAAAGAAAAATGTTTTATAAATTGCAGCTAACTATAACCTATCTGCGGTTAGCAAAGACTATCCACCTACCTACTTTAACTAATTTTGTAAATAATCCATCTTTCCTAAGCATAGACTATGAAAACATTCATTTAAAAAAAAACATTGGAATACCATTACATGATGTCCATTCTTATGTTCTGCAGGGCTCCGCCAGATACCGTCCAATAAGAATGGATTGATTATAGTTAATGAATAGTTATATCTAAGACAAGGTAATAACAATTCAAAAACTATTAAAACTTTAAAGAACCAATTGAGTTGTCTAAATTGCTCATAATCATGTAATCAAGAAATATAATATATATTAAAATTATCCCAGAGTTAAAACAATCAAACCATAGTAATCAGATGGGTTACATCAGTGCCCTAAGAGAGGATTTAGCTACTTATGACGATGTAGAATATCATCTGTGTTGTTGTCGTCTTCATCGTCACGGACGGCACTTCTCTTCTAAGGATCTTCACCTTTTAAGGTTATGGAAACCCTAAAAGCCGCCACCACAATACCAGCCTTCTGAATAATATGAGAATAAGGAACTCCTTCTATCAAGGCCTATGCCTTCTTTTATAGAAGAAGATAAAAGTCTGGTGGACTTTTAGGTCTTCTGGCCCATTTGGAGTGAGATACGAGTTAGAAAAGAATAATCCTGTAACTTTAAATCTGATCTGTCCTGGAAGGCTCGAGCTTAAGAAGTGGAGCTCGAGCTTAATAATCCTGTAATATTTTGGGATTCTCTTTTTTTAACATTGCTCGATCTCTGCTTCATAGGGCTTGAGCTTTGGGTCCTAAGCTCGAGCTTTTGGTGCTCAAGGCTCGAGCTTTGAATGATGGTGCTCGATCCTTGAGGTCTGGCACGAGGCCCTGGAAGCTTGGTTTTCTATTAAAATCAACTCTTCAAATTCTGACTCCTCATGCTCGAGCTTAAAGGCCAAGGCTCGAGCACCATTGGTTAGGGCTCGAGCTCTAAAGGTACAAGGCTCGAGCTTCAATGCCTTGTTGATTTTCTTCTTTTTCTTTACAGGGCTCGAGCCTCAGGACTTAGGCTCAAGCTTTGGTACTTGAATTCTTCCAAACTTCACCATTTAAGCTCTCAGCTTGCTTTGAATGACCGGCAACGACTCTGTAAGCTTCGATATCAGTCTTTTCATTATAAGGTCTCGGTTTTAACCGTTTCTCTAGAAAAGTACCTATAAACACACAATAAACATAAATCAATCTAACAATGGATAGAACTATCATTTTAGGCCTTAATATATGTATATTTAGGGGCTCAAATATACAATATTTATCGCTCATCAGTACTGTTATGATGATGATGTTGACGGTGAGTCAGCGTTTTTGTTTAGTTTTGTGGCTCAGCCCACTCTTGTCGGACGAGTGATTGAGTTACAGAGACAAGATCCGAAGTTAAATACCATTCACACTTTGATCTCCAGTGGTGAGATAGTGAATGATTGGACCTTACATACAGATGGAGGTCTACAGTTCAGGAGTTTGTTGGTTGTTCCCACAGTTTGTCATGAGGACGTCTTACGGGAGTTTTATATTTCCCGATTTGTAGTACATGCAGGTGATACCAAGATGTATCACAACTTGAGGCGTCAGTATTGGTGGAATGGTATAAAAAAGGATGTTATGCAATTTGTGGCCAGATACCTTACATGTCAGCAGGTGAAGGCCGAACACCAGAGACTAGCTGGTTTGTTACAGCCACTGCTGGTAGCGTAGTGGAAATGGGAGCAGATTGTTATAGATTTCGTGACAGGTCTCCCTAGATCACAAAGAAGGAATTAGGCCGTATGGGTCATTATTGATAGATTGACCAAGACGGCTAACTTACAGATGACGCAGAGGCACTTGGTGTGCTATATGTAAAGGAGATTGTGAGGTTTCTTGGAGTTCCGGTGTCTATTGTTTCAGATAAGGATGCCAAGTTCACTTCGAAGTTCTGGGAAGGACTTCATGCAGCGTTTGGCTTACCGTTCCATTTCAGTACGGCATTTCATCCACAGACGAACGGCCAGTCGGAGCGTACCATCCAGATCTTGGAGGATATGCTTCAGGCCTGTGTTTTTGTTTTGGGAGGTAGTTGGGAGAATCACCTTCCCCTTATTGAGTTTGCCTACTACAATAGTTATCCGGCGAGCATTTAGATGGCTCCATTTGAGGCGTTGTTTGGTAGACCTTGTAAGTGTCCTATTTGTTGGACTGAGGTAGGCGAGACAGCCGCCTTAGGACCCGACATCATACTTGAGACTACCGAAAAGATTAAGTTGAACAGACAGAGATTGCTTACAGCTCAGAGTCAACAGAAGAGTTATGCGGATAGGCTGAGATGGCCACTATCCTTTGAGGTGGGTGACCACGTCTTTCTTCGAGTTTCTTCACGGAAGAGATTAATGAGGTTCAGAAAAAGTGGCAAGTTGTCGCTATGCTTTGTTGGATCTTTTAAGATCTTGGACTAGGTAAGAAAGGTTACCTACAGACTTGCTTTGCCACCACAAATGGATAGAGTCCGCAATGTTTTTCATGTGTCGATGTTATGGAAGTACAAGCCAAATCCGTCTCATGTTTTGAATTGGGTTGACGTGGAGTTGGCCACCTTATATACCACATAATCATAAAACCAAACATTACATATTCAGTTCATGCCTTCAATCGATTTATGCAACAACCGCGAAAGCCACACCTTTTCATCGGCTTTTGCGTTATTTAAAGGGAGCTTTGGGCCAAGGTCTGTTATTTCTATCTAAAGGCTTATTAACTAGTTTCTGTGATGTACACTAGGGTGGCTGCCCCACCATAACGAGGTCAATTATAAGTTATTGCATTTTTCTTAGAGGTGCACTTGTATCTTGGAAATCCAAGAAATAGTCAACTATCTCTCGGTCTACCGCTGAAGCTGAGTATCGATCCATGGCATCAATCACAAACGAGCTTACTTGGATAAGATATCTCTTACAGGATTTGAAGGTTCGCCATTCGAAACCTACAAATTTACATTGTGATAACAAATCAACTTTACACATAGCTGTCAATCCTGTATACCATGAGGGCACCAAACATATTGAGCTAGATTGCCATACGGTTTGTGAACAAATTCAATCTGGTGCTATCAAAACAACCTATGTACCAACTAGACAACAGATTGCTAACATGTTTACCAAACCACTTGGACAAGCTGTGTTTCATTCTCATCTGAGTAAGTTGGGCATTCTTGACATTCACGCTCCAATTTGGGGGGAGTATTAAATGATAGAATATCTATGATATTCCAGCCCATCTAATGCCATGATTGCAGGATCGGATTTTTGTATATTAAACAAGAAATCCCTGGCTGGAGTCAAGGCTTAACTTTAGGATCAAGCATATTGATTTTACTTGTATAGCTTTCAAAATTTAGCATATATACCATTGTACAGAAACATATAGAAAAAAAAGATGTTTTCTCTACAATTTCATCTTTCCCATCTTATATTTTTACAGTTTCAATGTCAAAGGAGAAGGAGTGTTCTCCTATTTGACTATTAATTAATCATCCAAATATATGAATTTCTTTTAAAGATTCTTGAGGTGATAAAAGATCACGTTGTTAAAGATCATGGAATTTTTTATGACCTCTTCCGTTTTGCCTTCAACAACATATTCTGGTTTCAGAAAAAGTTGTTTCTAGGTGTGATCATTTTTGTCCGTCATTCAGATCAACAGTAAGAAATGATCATTAATTCGACATTCTTACCGGATATTACGAGAAGTTTTTTCTTAGATATATATTTTTTTCATTGGCAAAAAATACACAAACCACTCACACATTCACTATGTTCCTTTGTGGACTGAAGCTCTTATCATCCACTTTTGGAGGTAGAATAGATATCACTAGGCCACAAAAGCCTTTGATAAGTTTTTCCTTAGATCATGGAGCTAGAATTGCTTAAATTGATATCAATGGAAGTGTACGAGTGGAGATAGAAGGTGATGTATTTGGTGAGAGAAAGGGTGATTACTAACGGGGGATAAATATGAATTTTTATAATTTTTTTTTAAACCACTAAAATAATTAATTCAAAGGTTATGAAGTATAATCTACATTGTGGCTACTAGATGATTTTGTGACCTAGGGCAAATTAATTATTATTGCAAGTAAATGTATCAACTTTATTTATTTATTTTTATATGTCACTTAAGTGATTGAAGGAGACCATATAACCCGTAAACATCTAATAATTTATTCATTAATTATTAAGTTATAATATTCAAACCGTGAAAAAAAAAAATACATCTAATAATTTATTCATTAATTATTAAGTTAAAATATTCAAACCCTGCAAAAAAAAAAAAAAAAAAAAAAAAAAAAAATTCAAACCAACACTTCGTCTCAATTGGATGCATGCAACCTATGGCGATGCATTTGGCCCAATCTTGTAACACTCTTATGACATTGGAGACCGGCAAATAGGGCTCACTCTGGTGATAGCATTTCTCTAGCCTAACATCACATACCATTTTTGTCTTCCATAGGAGAGAGTACGTTCGCCCAGAGAAGCGGGAATGAAGATGGAAACGAAAGCGCATTGTGCGGGTACCAGAAATATGAAGCGTTTCTCTGTATCAATTCTGAACCTCCCACAGAACGAACGGTACGTCTCTTGATCGATCGATGGATTGAAGGATACACGCAAAAATACACACACAACAATGTAGTCAATTGTCCCCTAACAAACAAAAAAAACAACGCAGTCAATTGTCTTTTGTTTTGTAGCTTTTGTAGTATTGTGAATCAATAATGCCTGTTGTTTTTGGGTAAATGTATGTTATGTGTTTGAATAAATGTCCAGGTTCACCACTTGTTTCATTTTTGTAATTTTCTGCATAATAATGATTGACGTGATTGGTTTGGTCCCTCGCCTTTTGTCAGTTGCTGTTATAATCCGGCATACGTGGGCAATGATGCAATTGAATTTGTAGTTGGGTCCAATGAGTGTAAAGAACCAGAGCTGTTGTATCTTGTTGTTATACCCAGAAGATTTTGAAGTTCTCATTTTCCAGTATTTGATCTATCCTAAGCATTTTGAGCTGAATTTGTAGTTGGGTTCGGATAAAATGGCCAATGAGGGTAAAGAACCACTGCTGAAGAAATATTACTATGAGAACTGCCCTGGTTGTAAAGTCGAACAGCTTAAAGAGATGCATACAGGTTTACCTATTAAGGAATTGGTTTCTATATGGATTGTGGTGCTTGGCACAGGTGAGCAATTTCTTCTCATGCTAGTATCACTTGAATTTCTACAGCATTTCTTATTGCCTTACCAATTATTATGGCTGCATAGTTTTCAGTTGGATTTGGTTTTCTGTTGTTGTTGTTTTTATTTATATGTGTGGAGCGGATCTCTGTGCTTGTTTGTGTATGTTTAGGAGGTGGGGTGTTTGAAAACTACAATTTTCAATAAGAAGTAACTACTATTGAAATGCTGAAATGGCGGTAGTATTACAATAGAGGTGTATAAGAGAGTTGATATGATGACACATCAGTAAATAGTTCACCATGTGACTTGCATTTTATAAGATTTACAAATAAAATATGTTTTTGAGCAGTGATGGAGCCAAGAATTTATTTGGCGGGCATATTTGACATAATAAAGTTTTTTTATTTATTTTTTCTGCAACTAACATGACAACTAACAGTACAGCAAAACCGTAAGCTGATAGGTAGAAGTGCAGAAACGGTGCAATAATAAGATTTAAATAGTGTTTCACTATTTGCAAAAATTTATAGGAAAGAAAATTTCAAATTCTAAAATACAGACATTAATTTCATAAATTTGTTTAAATAAGAAGAAGAGAGGAAAAAAGAATAAGAAGAGAAAAAAAAAAAAAAAATGTTACAACACCTACATCATACTTGAGTACAACAAGAAGAAATTTTAAGAAGAGAAAAAAAAAAAAAAAAAAGAGAATTCTGAAGGGGAAAAAATAGGGGTTTGATTGAAGAAGAGGAATACAATTTTTATTTTTATTTTTTAGGGAATCAAAGGAATTTGAAGAGTAAAAGAAAAAACAAAGAATTAGAAATGTTTTTAGAAAGGGGAATATAATTTTTTTTTTTTTTGGGGGGGGGGGGGGGGGGGGATTTTGTAAAATATCACAAATATATATACATAAAGGTATGGGAAAAAAAAATTGTTGAGGCAGAGCCTGGGCAGCTGCTCTGATGGCCGTCCATGTTTTTGAGACCAGTAAACATATGAGAAATTTATCTTTGATGTGTCCAAAAAAAAATGGAACTTGATCAATTGGTGCCATAAAGATGAAAAATGGTATGGGCGTGAAAGAACAACAATCTGGTATGGTTCAAAAGAACGAAATTCTATGTAAGGCTGCTAATCAGGTTGCAGACTAGCAGCCCGAGCAAAAACAGCCTAAGATCTATAAGAGGCTAAGTCCCATTGGGGACCACAAAGAAAACATTGGAAAGGAACCTTGTTATATTATTAGATTATACAATGCAATTTTTTCCGACAAAGTGTATGTTAGAAATTTGTCAGTGCGAACCAAATAATATATTTAATTTCTTTTTTCCCTGAATGGAGTTGTATTAAATAAAAGAGAAAACACAGAAGAGTACAAGGATTAATGAGGGCATACCCCCATGGACAACAACACCACTATGGAGCAGAATCACTTTCAATAGATAGCCAAAACAAAAACAAAAACCCAAAAAAAAAAAAAAAAAAAAAAAAAAAATGAAAAAGAAAATTACTACTGAAAAATCAAACAACAGTATCAAGTAAAATTTAAACATTGCAAGTCCTGCAAATTCAGGCCAAGGAGCTGCAAACACTCCCATAAGCAAGCAAGAGCCACCTCTTGCGAAGATTTCCTAACGACTTTCATGCATAACTGAATTCCTTTGTCTCCAAATAGCCCAAATAACAGTAGGCAGAATACATTGAAGTAATTTGGACTGTATAGAATTACCGAATAATATATTTAGTTAACTATATTGCTGCAGTGGTTTTGTTTTTGTGTCAGATTTTTCTCTCTTGTAGGTGATGCAATTTTTATTCAGAAGATTCTTCTGGTTTGGAATTAAAAAAATAAGCTAACATCATCTACTTTATACAACATTCAAAACCCTTAAATATTGATTAAATTTGGTGCTTTGTTGAAAGTAAGATCATTGAGTTCTTCTTTATCTATTTCCATTATCTGCCGTTTTCGTTCTTCTTTTGTATGATATAAATTTGGTGAATTTGTTTTAGTTTTTTTGCAAACTTTGTAGCATTTCAATATCATATTGGATTTTGTGCTCCCTTATAAGTTTTCACACACACACACATATATATATATATATATATATTTCTGCATCACTTGTCTGAGAAACTGTATTCTTCTGCTTAGTAATGAGTTTCTCTGTCATATATTGATGCTCTAATATCTGTTTTTTCCTTTACCTTTTCAGCACTGCCAATATCTTCTCTTTTTCCATTCCTTTACTTCATGGTGAGTATATAAACGTCTTGGATTTGGTAATTGTTACCTTAGACACGAGTTTCAATATAAAGAGGACTAGATTTAATTCTTAAATTTTTCACAGTTAAGCTCATAATCGTTTTCTTATAGATTTTTTGAATTTAAATACAAAATGGTCACGATTTAATTTTCTGTTTTTGTAATTTATTCACATCCCAGCTACTTGTGCCTTCAATTGCGTTATTCTTGTGTTCCTTTATATTAACTAGCTTAAGAACCCAAGTTGTCTAGTCCAAGTTGACTGTGCTTGTTGGATATAAAAAACACAATTTTGGCTGCCAGGGATCTCTGAACATGCTCAAATTAGTAAAAATAGGATTAGGATTTTTGTACAATTTCCGTTTTACATTTTTTAAAATCCTCTATTTGGACTCTTGTTTCTTCACATCTTGAAAGAAATATTGCCACGTCAAGGTTGGCATACAGGATCGAACAAAAGTATGGTCTTGTTGCAGTAATGGGATCCAAATATGTTGTCTTGTGTTTTTCTTCAAAATGAGGTAGGAGTCACTTGTTCTTTAGAGGGGAATAAAGGTATGGAGAATAACACATTCACATGTAATGAGTAATGTGGCCAAATGGAAATATTGACATATCTATGGAGAAAATAGAATGTGTTGAGCAAGAAATGTGGCGATTGTGTGTCTTGTGGTCACTTCACGTTTCTCTATCTTTAGGATAATTTAACCCATAAACCACAGAGGAAGTAAAACATTGACCAACCATTGGTTTCAACTGTTAAGACACATAGCCCAGGATGCCAAGTGAACCACGACGCAACCTAGAGGTTATGCCATGGCCAAGCATCGAGCTAGAGGAGTTCCCTTGACTCTACTCTGGACCTAGTTAGGCATAAGATGCATCTAGGTAATACATGCTGAGATGACTCTTGATGGGGCAGAGCAAGGTAATGGATAAACTTTCGGAGAGAGCCAACTGAAGGTGTATATAGGAGAATGCATCTGAGGTGGTGATATGACACCACGTAGCTGAAAATTCCCTGATGTGAACCACTTAATGAAAAACCAACAACGTACCCAATATTGGGGTTCAGAGGTATTTTGTGTCGATGTTGAGCTCTGTATGGAGAAACTTGGATTTGAATATTTGATCCATTTTTGCGAAATCAAGCTGAGGCATCGAATGTATTAACTATGGAATAGATATAAGTAGAGAACACTATGGTGATTCAATACATTTTGTGTCCTAAGGATCACATGTCTATGGAGATGTCCTAAGGATCACACGTCTATGCTGATGTGAGGTCAGATTCCCTTATTTAGCACCCAACCTGACAGAGAGTTGTTGTTTGTTTTGGAGTGTCTCAACTGCATTATAGGAAATAAGTGCATGTTAGTCTTGTTAGAGATGTGATTGGGAAAAGGTTTTATTTGATGTTGTCGCTAGAGATGTGATTGTCCAACCATTAAGAATATGGATTTGTTATGGCAATAAATCCTAAATGGCATAAAGAAATGAGTCATCTCAGAGTGGGGGACAACATGCCTTGGACATGGTTGTGCAATAGCTGACAGTGGTTGAATGAGTAGGGCACGACCCCAAGGGCAGGCGGCACATGGGTTTACGCTCCAAGCCAAGGGGCATGGCACGCCAATCACACATGGACACTTGGTGGTGGCTACTTGCCTTGGGCAAGGTCGTGACTTGACGGTATGTGGGATAGACGAGACATGGTGGCATGGCAGACCCAAGTGTGGCTGCTGGTGGCAGCACATGTAGAACAAACTTTTTTCCACCTACAAATTTCTTCTTGTACCTTCTAATTATTTTTCTACGTGCAGCTGAACTAACTTTGGTACCTTCTAATTATTTTTCTACGTGCAGCTGAACTAACTTTGGAGGCCTTGAACTTTGAATGTACACCAGAAATATTAGTTTTCAGTCCTCCTTTATGTTCAAGCTATGTCGGTCATGAAATAGTTATAATTATGCTTCTATTTATCAACGCTGTCCACGAGAGCAATTTAACGTCATTTAATTTTTTTTTTTATGCCACCGTTTTATGATGTCAGGATATTATTGTTAGTGCATTTCTGGGTGCCAATTTTATTGAGTTGAAGAATCAAGGAAGTAATGTTTTTTCATTTAATCTTGGTTTCTAATTCTTCTTCTATGTAGCCTGTCTTAAAGAACTCAAGAAATTTATCCATAAATCATCAGAAATTTTGATCAGCTGACAATAACAAATTTGTTTATGTTGTCGTATTTGTAATACTTATATTATTTGTTTGCCCTGTAAGACAATTAATTTATACATAACTCTTTATGCATGCATATTGCTGTATAATTAAGTTTGATTTTTGTTCCAGATAAGGGACTTCCATATTGCAAAAAGAGAAGAAGACATCGGTTACTATGCAGGTTATGTGGGTGAGCTAATTCTCTTCTCATCTTTTCAGCATTGATGATACACATCTTAATCTTCACTTTTGGGGTTCTGTTCAAAGTAGTCCTAATAAATCCCTTGATAACATGAAGGGTCCTCATTTATGCTTGGAAGAGCTTTGACATCTGTTTTCTGGGGCATAGTTGCTGATCGATATGGTCGAAAACCAGTTATTATTATAGGGACTTCCACGGTGTTAGTATTTGAACTTGTGTGAATATTAGCAATTCACTTTGGCTATTTGAGATTCTGGAACTATTTATTTTATATTTATTTTATGTTTTGTTTTAGGGTTGTTTTCAACACTCTCTTTGGTCTTAGTATAAACTTTTGGATGGCAATCTGTACAAGATTTCTTCTCGGGAGCTTTAATGGATTACTTGGACCAATAAAGGTATCCCTTATTGAATATCCATTTGACTGCTTACACTTCCCTGTAAAATTTCAGATAACTAGGTTTATTTTACTTTTTGCTAATTTTTAGTTCTATTTAATCAGGTTCATCTTGTATAACTAGGTTTGTGTTATTTTTTTGCTGCTTTTTTTTTTTTTTTTTTTTTCTATTTAATCCAATTTTATCTTGAATTGTTAAACGTACCTCCATCACCAGGCCTATGCATCTGAGCTATTCCGGGAAGAGCACCAAGCTTTAGGACTGTCAACAGTAAGCTTTTATGGTCTTCATATGCTAAGATTTCTTAAAATTTTATTACATCCTAGCTTTTATGGTCTTCATAGACTAAGATTTTTAAAATTTTTATTACATCCTAGCATTTGACAATGATAATTTTTATGTCAGGTTAGTACTGCATGGGGTATAGGACTGATCATTGGCCCAGCTCTGGGAGGTTTCCTTGCCCAGGTACATCTACTTACCTATTTTGTTTGCAAGGAAGCAATTCCATGGTCCAGAGTTTCATTTTCGGGATGAGCATCATTTTATTTTTATTTTTATTATTATTATTATTTTAATAGATACATAGGCTCTAACCAAACTCAGAAGAGGAGGGCCAATCGAGGTCCTTCGAGGCTTTAACCACTAACTATGATGAAAAGCTGGGCAGTTCGACACCTAATTTGATTCCCATAAATGATCAACTTTTTTGTTTTTGTTTTATTTATTTAGTTGTGGATCAAAATTGTTCTGCATTTGGAAGTCTCATTGAGTGAATAAACATTTTCAGTTTTCCTCAACATGAATAATGTTGAGGACCTTCTCTTATTGTGATGCTAATGCCTTCCCTTGATCAATTACATTCAGCACTTATCACTGTCACAAAAGATAAAAGTTTATAAACATGTTAAAACCCTTAAAATGTAATATAAAAATTATTTAGACATAAGGCTATTTTAATGATCTTTAATAACTTGGGTTTGGGATCATTTGTAAAATACATATGCTTGTGACAAGGAGGATATCACAAAAAATCTGTGAATCTTCATTATCATTACAAATATTATAAGGTGACTTTTTTATAGTGGAAATGAAGTGAATTATATTTTAATTTCTTTTATTGATAAATACATTTACAATAATGCAACAAATCAAGAAAGATTTGTTAAAAGAAATTACTTATCAAAAAAAAAAAATTTCTTTTAACAATTCTTTCTTGATTTGTTGCATTATTGTAAATGTATTTATCAATAATCCTATTTGTTGATGCAAGAAAAAGTTGTGTATTGATTCTGGGAATATAAATGATATATACAAAGATATCCATATAGAGTATATTACAGATTATTTACCACATAGCTAGACGATGATGTGGAACGAAGAAAAGTTGCCGATGCACACCAACAAATGTGAACTCTGTTAATGATCTTGTTGTTATCCCAACATAAAATGTTCTTTTATGAGTTGAAGCTTTAGATGTCATATACAGAACAACTAAAACTATGACATAAAAAGAAGGAACAAGAATAAGTAAAAGAAAAAAGTTAATACTGGTATATGCATGCAGCATGCAACGTCTCACTTGAAAACTGATCTGTGTTGTTCATTTGATGATTAATAAATAATTAAACAAAAGAATCGAGTATATTGCACCATTTCTAATTGGTATGATAACACTAATGTACATGCTTTCTGTAGCTGTTTAAGTTGTCTACTTGTCTCTCTGTGTGTGTTTATATCATCCAAATGTATCAGTTATGAAGCTGTTAAAAATGATTCATTTAACAATCTATATAAATGGAGTAAAAACCAAATGTAGTCAGCTATGAATCTGGGGAAAAAATGACTTATTTAACAATCTATATCAATCATGTAAAAACTGTTGGTAGCCTAGAATAAAGCAGAAGCAATTTTCAAAAGTAGTTTTAGAGCGCACAAGATTGTTTCAATTAGCTTTAACCTTGAACTCAACTCACTTTCCATACCCTCAAACCTACGCAGAAGCACATATCCAACTTCATCAAACAAGAACCCGATTTGATTCAAAAAAGAAAGGGAAACAAAGGATGATCAAACCCGAATCCGATCATCCATATTCACACTCCACGTTAAAGATCACAACCACACTTAAGGAACCTAACGATCAACATCCTCACAAACAAGCGGAAGCAATCACACAAACGCCAACCCATATGGGTCAACGTAACCACGAGCATCACTTTTGCAATGCGAATTGACCAATCTCAACCCCAATGGAAGGAAACATTCCCCTCCCTCCTGGCCACCCCTTCCCCTTCCCAACATCATTGAATAAGGACCCTGTTTGCATGAGAAAGGGAGGAAAAGAAAAAGAAAAGAGATTCAAATAAACACCAAAAGAAACATGGATTTTCTAATCAAAATGGTCACATAATATCCTATATTCATTTCTGAATGCAAAAGACAACTTCGGCACACAAAAGCAAGGTTTCAAACAAATTTCAGCAAAGTGCGACTAGTCCGACTTTTGCAGCCAAAAATTAAAAAAGTGTGACTAGTCCGACTATTTACGACCAGTCTAACTTGTTCAACCAAACGCAAGTTTTTTACTTCAGTTGTTCCTAACTATATTCCAACATCTAGGAAGCACGGACATGCCTAAAAGGGCAAAGAATCCATGTCGGATAGGGACACGCGCTGGTCACGCCCCGACACGTGTCGGACACGCCATGTATATGTGTCCGATATGCGTGTCCCATTCTTGGGGAATTTTTTTATTTTTGAGAAGTAAGGCACTTGGGGATTTTAAGAAAGTTTTAGAAAGAAAGCTAGGTTGGAGTGTAAATTGAGGAGGGTCATTACATACTTACTTAAAAAAAGTTGTTTTCTAAAACAATTTAACATTAAACAATCAGATATTTATGCTTATATTTTAGTTCAAGGCTTTGTTTGGTTAGGTAGAAACAGCTAGAAAAGAAAGGAAAGAGAAAATTTTTAATTTTTTTTAGAGTTTGGATAGATAGAAAGAGAAAACTAATGGAAAATTTAGTTTCCCCTATTGAGTATTTTCCCTCAAAATTTTTCCCACAAAAAACACATGAAAATTTTATTTTCACGTGAAAGAAGCGCTTATTTATTTGCAGTTCCTATTTTACCTAGTACTTAATCATCAAAGTTCCTATTTTAAGTTCGCAAGGCAAATTATACAATTATATATGCATAATATCAATGATAATTTGGGTAAAATTACTCAAAATAGATCGTGCTTCTAAATAGAATTTTTTATTTTTTCTAATCGTCTGTTTTATGTTGTAATTCTAGCCACTCATAATCCGGTATGGATATATATATATATATATATATATGGTGAAATATTTGATTTTTCTCCCAAGCAGTAGTATTGCCTCTTCATCTCTAATTTTTTTATTTTTTATTTTTAATTTGTTTATCTTAAACTAATAATTAGTTTTACCTAAGGAAATATTATGAAGCCTTATTGTAAATATAAATAATACAAATGAATATAAGCAATTATATATTTGAATTTAATAATCCATCATTTTACTTCATAAGGGTAGTTTTGGTATGCATAATCACTTTCTTTTCACTTTCATGCTATCCAAACTAACAAAATAATATTTTTCTATAATTTTCTTGGATAAATTTTCATGCTAACTGTTAGAATGTTTATGTATATATATATTTATGTTGGGTCATTATGTAATTACCTATAGTTGTTAGGATTATTGTGTAATTAGGTAACCTTGTATAATTAGGTTATTACTTTTCCTTTACATAAGCCACTGTAGGCTTAGGGTTACGATATATACAATACATAGTTTTGCTCTCTCTCTCTCTCTCTCTCTCTCTCATGAATTCGTACATGGTATCAGAGCAATATGAATTCATGGGTGTGGGAAACGGCAAGTGTGTTATTCTTGTATAAGATTGGAATCGCGATCGGAATCATGATTGTGGTGTTGTTCTCTCTGCCGGAAGTTTGGTCGCCGGTCGGATTGAGAGCTCCTCATTCATCGTCCTCAGATCTGAAGCCTCATTCGTCATCGTCAAACTTGAAGCCCGTTTGGCTGCTCGTGTTGTTGCCGTTTTGGTTGTTAGCAAGCTCGCCGACATCTACCATCGTTATTTGCAGAGCCTCTGCTGTGTTGCTCCCCGGCATCCGTGAAGGTGTGAAGAAGAAGAACCGTGTTTGGCTACATGGTTATGCTATTCCAACCCTAGTTTACTAAAACCGGGATAGCAGAGATCCGACCCGTTTGACCATATCCGGCCCTTTTGACCAAATCTGGCCAGAATACAAATTCTGCGTTTTTTTCCAGGTTCATTTTTTTTTTTTTTTTCTTCTCCATGGCTGCCAGTTCAGACCTGTTATCCTTTGCCTCCTTCAATCCTCCCATGACTTCAGTTAAGCTCAATGGCAAAAATTACATTTTATTGGCCAAGTCAGTAGCCATTTTCCTGAAAACCAAAGGCTTTGGCACTCATTTGGTTAAGGATAAACCTAAGGATAGTGATGCTGATTTCAGTTCATGGGAACAAAGGGATGCTCAGATCATTTCTTTAATGCTGAATTGTATTGAACCTCATATTAGCTCCCACTTGTTGTATTTGGACACTGCCAAGGAGATATGGACTAGACTCCAACAGTTATATTCGGGTACTGGCAATATAACCAGAATTTATAAGGTGTGCAAACAATTCTTTGACCTCCAGCAAGGTACTCACAGTCTAGAAGAGTACCTCTCACGGGCAATGGGACTTTGTGAAGAAATGAACTTATATCAACCCATCACCTCTGATGTGAAGAGCATGCAACAACAACGTGAGGATTTTAATGTTGTTCGGGTTCTCACCGGGTTGTCACCAGAGTATGAACCTGTTCAAGCACAGATTTTGGGTAGCCCTGCACTTCCCTCTCTTCTTGATAAGTTATTAAGACTCCAACGTGCTACTTTATCAAGTGGCGCTTCAGGGGGTTCTTCAAGTGGTGTCATTGCTCCTCCTAGCAGTGAATGTTCTGCCTTAGTTGAGAATCAGGGTGGCTTTCAGTCTTCTCGTGGTAGTGGCGGTCGTTTTACTCGTGGTCATGGTCGTGGTCGTGGCAGAGGTCGAGACTCGAAACTTTGCACTCACTGCTGTCTTACTAATCATATTGTCAATTACTGTTGGGATCTTCATGGGAAACTGCAACCTTTTTCCTATGCACATCAAGTTACTTCTAATGAAGGGGATTCTTCTTTCTTTGCCACACCTCCTGCTCCACACGTGGCTGTTAAGCCTGCTATGGTTACGATTCCCCGCGATGAATATGCTTAGTTTCTGTCTCAACAACGGCCTTCCACCACATCTTCCATGGTTTCCTTTGCCCAATTAGGTAGTGCCCTTGCATGTCTCTTGTCCTCTCGTCAGAGTCCCTGGATTCTTAACTCTGGTGCATCCGATCACATGACTGGTAGTTCTCATCTCTT